CCAGCAGGCAAGCGCAGCGCCGGTCGGACACCAAATGTAGCAGTTGGTGTTCATTTAGGATATTATTTCCTGTATGAATGTAATAAGGCAACACAGTGATCGAAAGGCGCGTCGGGCACTTTGACCGGTGTAAGAAAAGAATATCTTAATCATGAAGTAGCTACAAAATGACAATAAACAAATTACTGGGAAAGAAAATGTAAACATCGTTTTTTATTAGAATCGTCGTCGCTGTTAACTTATTGGCTTACCGTTCAAGACGTTCGCGTGCAGTCACCTTAGCTATGCACAATTCAAGGAGGTCCGAGTGCAAGAAGGAGTAACTAGACAAATGGCACCCTATGCCCCAACGCTTACGACCACATGCACACACGGTATTGCCAGCCATGCAGCATGCATTTGTATTATGTGCTTCGATATCGTTTACCGGAAATCGGACTGCTCCAGTGTGATTTGCAAATGGTGATCACACTTTTGTGGTACCTCCCACCAAGCAGAATTTGGTCTCTCCAAGGCCAAAATAAACGTAAAGGGATCCATGATAAACAGCTAATAATCGGTCAACAGCTTGCTCATTAGCATCAGAACGCACAAAATCTGGAAACCTTCTGCCTGCATCATAAGTTTCCCGCTACACGCTTAGTCAAAATTATTCTGACCACTGCCAAGCCATTGGATGTAAGTGTCTATGTCCCCACCCCAGGGATAGTAGCCAAGGCAAACAGCTGGCCAGGAAACAGCTGAGTGGGACATCTCCCAGATCAAACGCTGCGGACATAGAACAAGTCCGCAGCTGGCCAATCGTGAACGTATTGCCGGCGAAGCAGCGTGTGAAGAAACAGCTGATCAATCAGCTAACAACGCGGGCAGACTGAGTAACCACCACTCATTCTGGTGTTCTGTTTGTGATGCTTGCGAGCTGGGAGCAGGTGGTCCGCAGTGTGAGTCGCGGCCACCAAATCAGTGTACGTCTTCAAGGTAAAGTACATTCGGAAAGCCCAAAAACAGAAAAGCCCAGAAAAGTGAGAAGAAAAGCCCAGAAATTCTAAGCACTGGTGTCAAAAGTGCGATGTACATTGCAACGGGCGCTATCCCTGGGTTATTTAGCCCCCAGGGTCTGTCAAAAAGAGGCTTAAATGCACTTGTATAATAGCAAACTGTTGCACGTGATGCAAGTTCTGCTCACTTGTATTCGTCATTTATTCCTAGCGTTTAGAGCGTAGCTTTGACCGAGTATACATGTGACGGTGTATCTACTGATGAAACCGTCATCAAATTCGTTCTCTCAATGACTCCGCAAGATCTCGAATCCTTCAATGACCGAAAATGTGTTCGCCGGAGAGCTTGGGTTTGACTGCTACGACGAGAGTACTTACAGGGTGATCTGGCTGAAGATTTTCGGCCGACTCAGACCAATTTATGTTATTTAGTCATGACATAAAAACTGGTTAAGTACACCCATGGCAAAAATGGGGACAAACATCCAACTAAACAGCTTCTACATTCAAGGCAAGCAACATGCTGTTAATTAGAGGTAGCAGCAAAGTCATTCAGCTTAACTCGTTATTGGGGTGTCACCGTCAAATGGTCTAAGTGAAACGACAGCCAATACGTTTTAAGCGGTCTAATTGGGCACAAACACGCATGTCAAGTTTGTATTTACATCTGGCCAGAAAAATTTTGATGAATATTTTCGAAGAGTTAAAAAATTGTGTTATTACCTGATCCGAGATTGCTCCGGATTCTGGGCAACAATGTGCAACATGGCGATCCACGGTCCCGTCAACTAAACAGCCTCGCAAACTAACGTGTCGCCCGGGGCGCTGGTGGGCAGCCGACATGCAAACTGGGTCGTGGCGACTTGCGCGCCATCTACCGACGGCGGGCAAACTCACTCTGAAGCCATGGGGAATGTCATGCCCACAAACGAGGGACTGAGCGTTTCTGTGTACATCTCGCAGCCTGTTCCCTGCAGGTAGTCATTCTGCCAGGCTTGCGTGTCCGGAGACTGCGAAACGACGGCACTTCCTCAGCTTGGGACTCCACCCCACCCCACATGTGCATTCATCAACGCAGGCGAAGGGGTATTTCGCTGCCCCCCCCCCCCCCCCCCCGCAGTCACAACACCGAGCTTTGGGATATAAACACCCTAAGAGCTTTGGAGATGAAATAGCTTGCTTCTATGGGGCAGCGTTTCATATCTCGTCATTTCAGCAATGATCATGGCGTAAATCACGCTCTACTTTCTAGTGGCCACGCTACTAGGCAGGGGCATTTGTGCACTGGAGCATCACCTAACCGGAACAATATTTTTAACGCACGGTCCTCTTAATGAGGTGTCCTCGACGCGAGGGCACGCCAAAACAGAAGATTCCCTCATTAGGACTCGGAATTATTTACTCGACTCGGCCTCTACCCGGAGTGGACTCGGGAGAAGCTATTCTCGGTCGGGACACTCTTCTCAGGAGGGTCATAAGGGCATAGAGATCAATAATTGGCC